TATATATATTTGTTTTCTTAAGTTTTCGCGGGTACTTACATGTATGGTGTTAGGCTTGGTTCGGGTATTTTCCCACGTCATTGTAGTCATCACATCAGGACATTGTAGTCATCACATCAGGACATTGTAGACATCACATCAGGACATTGTAGTCATCACATCAGGACTGCCTTCAAAACAGACAGAAAAATAGCAGCCATCCTTAGCAACCCCAAAGATAAAATTGACCTGGAAAACCAAGGCATATACGAAGTCCCCTGTGCATCATGCCCGGCCACATACATTGGACAGACCAATAGAAGAATAAGCACCCGCCTGGATGAACACAAAAATGCAGTCAAAAAGCTGGAACACACTTCCTCACTAGTCCAACACATGGAAGCCACAGGTCATAGCATCAACTTCAATGGCACCAAAACCCTGGCCACTATAGAAAACCCTAATCACAGAATCATCAGAGAAGCCATAGAGATTGAAAAAAGACCAGAAAGCATGAATAGAAGAGATGATTCCACCAGGCTGTCAATCATTTGGAAGCCTGCACTCACAAACAAAAAAATCTCCACACCACAAGCCAGGCAAACACCTGGGCACAAACAGATCCCCCCTGATACCTCCAGCTCAAACACATCCCAACCAGGCACCCAGATGAAACCCAGCTTCCTAACTAATGATAGCCGTCCATTTACCCGAAGCCAAGCTGCACTAAAGGCCTCCATTAAAGCAACACAATGCTGCCAGCCAATCAAGATACAAAAAGAGCCAAAAAACAGACAGAAGATATTAGAGACACCAATCAAGCAGAACACAGCAAACTCCGAGACCAATAAACACAGACCAAGACTCCCAACCAATCAGGATGAAGAAAAAACCATTCTGGCACAGCAATAGGCTGCCCCAAATTCAAATCTGAAACCACTGTAAAAGTCTGACTCACAGACGGACACAATACAGAAGCCTGATGATGGCAGATGAGATTCTGCTGAAACGTTGCTACAACTTTAAAAGAACAACTACAATGACGTGGGAAAATACCCGAACCAAGCCTAACACCATACATATATATATATATATATATATAT